CGTCTATAAAGACTCATAACGGTTGCCTTCTGATGTAGAAGTATCAACAGTGTAACAAATTCCATAGTTAAAAATATTGTAGAATTTTTATGGTATATAACTTTTGTGATGGAGTAAGAAGACTAGAATAATCTTTTTAACATAAAATGTACAATTTACTAAACCCATGTCCTACATCTCAAAGATTGATGACAACCATTTCAAATGGTCTCAATATATTCCTTCTCATTCTGAGCCATAATATCATTAACGTCAAAATTAGAATTACAATATACCATCAGACAATTACTTAAAAATAGTGATTTTCATCCATATGATGAAATTTTTGTTAGATATTTAAATTCTGCTAAAAGCTTAAGTACGACTATCAAGATGACTGTATTAGGCCATGCTGTAACTTAAAGTTATCAAAATACTGCAAAAGGCATTTAAATTTGAAATGTGCAAGTCGATCCATGTTAATCTCTTTAATTGTTTCTCAACTGAGAAATACAGTTTTTTGGGTCAAGTTGGTGTAACTTTAAATTCAAACATACTATCAATGTACAGAAGTGAATCCCATTTTTATGAAAAAATTATCTAACTCAATACACTCATATTGAATGTAACTTTTTTTTTTTTTTTAAAAAAAGAGTTTTATTTATCATAGTTCATTAGTCTTCCACTTTGTTTTCAAGAACTTGAATATTTTCAATAAATATAATGTCCAATTAGAACTTCAACATATCCTAGATTAGGTTGAAATTTTAATTCCACATATATACTTTCATCAATATTCCTCTTTATACTCATATAAGTAAGGGATTGAATTACTGAAAATAGATTACTCCCATTCGGAGACATATTACTCCAACTTGAATCAGAAGCAAACAACTCATGTATTTCAAAATTGATTCACCAATACACATAATATTTATTTCAATAATATTATCCAAACCTTTTTTCCTCACTTGGAAAAAATGTCAAATGTCCCATCTTGTAATCCAAAATCCATCTAAAACTCACTTAAGTACCTTTTTTGGACTGTTATATGTATCTCAGATATACATATCGTTCTTAATAGGCTCATGTTCCCAAACTTATTATTAAGAACTTATACAATCGATTGTGAGTCTAGGATAACCTATATTTGGTAATCTACGTGTCCAAAATTTTTATATACTTAGCCCCTATTTGGTCCCCATAACGGGGAAAAATTAATGTGTGGAATAGTATTTTTTGAAAAATAAGTGGTTGAAAAAGAAGGAAAAATTTACGATTTACGTGTAATATTATTTTATGGAAGATTGTGAGGTTAAAAACAGGAGAGAGAAAAATGAAATGTAATGTAATAAAAATTAATGGGGCTCAAACGGGGGCTTAAGGTATCAACTTTGAGAGAACTCCACTAAGTGACAAGTCACAAAGTTAACCAAATGCGTAAATTGGACTGTGTTATCTTAAGTCTCATCACATTCAACAATATTCCATTTATTCTATCCAATAGACTATATGATAACTGGTGATTAAAGAATAGTCAGTCCAATAAAAATTTCTATTTCATTACCTTGATCACTGAACTCTCGCGATAGAGATCTACACTCTCAAACCATTTTTAAAATATTTACTTCCATAATCTGATTTTCTACTCCATTTCAGAAGAGTCTAAATCAATACAATATCTTCGACTTGAGAAAATAAAAGGCATAATTGAAATGCATAAATCCATCTATAGATATAATGAAAAATGAAGTTCCAACTCCATCTCTCTTCATCATAGTTCACAAAGAAATTCAGATGGATTTACTCTATGGAATTTTAACTTTTACAGTTTTGAATGATTTTCTCGACTCGAAACTTCAAACCATTGCACATATACCTAAAACCATAATAAACATCACTACCGTGCGTACGAACAAAACTATCACGTATAAGTTCAAGAGACCAGTCTTAGAAGAAGAAGAACTGAGATCAAGTTTAGTAAAGCCTTTGATATTATTTTAATATCAAATAGGAGATTAGTTTCTCCACTTTGCAACACTAAGGGTATGTTGGATTGCGAATATGGAATTTGGGTGAAAAGAAAATGAATTCCAAGTAATTGAATTGTCTAGAAATTGTTTTCCAGAGAGTTGTAAATTATTGTGTTTAATTAGTATAATTTTTCATGTGGAAAATGTTGAAATAAAAATATTTTTTAGTGTTGAAATGTTGAAATGAAAATATTTTTTAGTGTTCGTTTAACTTTATTTTACATGAAAATTGTTAATTAAAGGGATAAAATTTACTGATATTGGGGATGAAATTTGTTTCTATTGTCAAAAAAAAAAGTCAAGAAAATCATCTATCTTTTAGTGTTCGTTTGGCTTTGTTTTACATGAAAATTGTCAATTAAAGGAAAAATATTTTTTTTTACAATTAGGGATAAAATTTATTTCCATTGCTATATAAAAAAAAATTTCGATACAGTAACCGGGAAAAACCAATTCCCGCCATATGAAAATCAAGAAAAATTCCATATGGCAAGACAACCAAGAAATCCATTTCCATGGAAAAAAAAGAAGCCATAACACCTTTAAAATTTGAAAATGGAATTCCTTTTCTATTTTCCATGAAAAGTCTCTCCTATAAAACACACCCTAAGTTATAGTATTAGTTATATAAACCTTCACCCCATCTTCATTATTTGTATATATCTATTTTGCACCTAGTCAAATACTCGACAATAGACTAAAGGCACTTTTTGATCTCATATGGAGTGGGTTTCTAACTTTTGAATCCAATATCCATACAAGATAAGATCCAATATATATGTATAGTGTTGACACATGAACAACATTAAGAGAAACATATTCAAGTGCAATATCCTTTAGCATAATTACTTTCGAGCTAAGAGATTCAACCCGTATGATTGAAACACTTGAACTTTTATAATATTGGTCTTTTATCAAAACCACTTTCATGTACTACTATCCATTATGTCTTCTTGGTACTTTTTCTAGTTTCCTCATCTATCACATATTTGTTCTAACTTATTTAATAAGAAGATGGAATTTGGGTGGAAAGAAAATGAATTTCACGGAATTGAATTATCTAGAAATTATTTTCCTGAAAATTGTAAATTATTGTGTTTGATTGGTATAATTTTTTATGTGGAAAATGTTGAAGTAAAAGTATTTTTTGGTGTTCGTTTGACTTTGTTTTACATGAAAAATGTCAATTTAAGGGATATCTATTTCTACTATTGTTTCTAGAATTTGTTTTCATTGCTAACAAAAAAAAAGGAAAAAAAAAGATCAAAAAATTATCTGTATTTTGGTGTTCGTTTAACTTTATTTTACATGAAAATTGTCAATTTCAGGGATATCCTCTTTTACAATTGTTCCTAGAATTTGTTCCCATTATCAACAATTAAAATAACCAAAAAGCAAAAAAAAAATAAAAAAAAAGGTGGAAAACCAAAAACCACCTATCCCTTGAAAAATAAAAGGTGTAAAATCACGCTTTAAGGTGTTGTACCTGGAAATTCATGAAAAATCAAATCTCAGGAAAATTT